TAGGGTTTAGGGTTTAGTGGGGGAACGTGGTAGCTGTATAGGGCCAGACGTACTGTTAGTACCTTGTTATAGCTCGGGGTTCTATAGCTACCTAGGAACCAGATCGGGCAAGTACCGACTGTGATTTCGTGCGCTTGAAAAACCCAGAACCTGAATCTGAAAAGGGAACGACATGTATTATACTTAGCCACGCAGCTTGGGGCTTAGAATACTGAACCAGAACTACAACCCTAAAGATCTAAACCTAAACTCTAATAAAACCCTAAACCTAAACTCTAAAACTGTAAACCCTATACCAGACAACCCTGAACCAACACTTACGGAAATCACCAGGCTTGCAATGCTCAGCCCACTGCTCATCATGGAGGAGACCGCTGCTACCTGCCCAGACGAAACACTCAGAATTCCATGGCATGCAGGTTTTCCAAAGTTGAGCTACACAAGGACGTATGTGGTTATGTGGAGATTATACAGGGAGATCACCCCAAAAAGGGAAAATCAAACATGGGAAAACAGATGGAAGCTGGGATGACGTAGGCTCGGCACTCAGGAGAGATGGCGGTTCCAAGACATAGGGACTCCCTTTCTGGGGCTTCCAACAACGGAGGTGAAAATATTTCGGGGTCTATATTGGGGCTCCTTCCTTCTTGGTACAGAGGATGATATGAGCTATAGTCTAAGCTCCTAGTGCCCCCTACTGGCCCCTATAGATCTTACCCAATTATATAATCCCCTATATTTGCTTGTTTCTCTTGTGGGAAAGTTATTCCGTACTCAAAAAACACCTGAACTTTTGCATTTCTCGTGCCACAGACCCCACTCTTTTAATGAGTTCCAGAAGTGTGACTGGCACAATAGATTCTTCGCTTTGGATCAACAATTGTGCAAAATCTTAGCCATGCTGGGGCACGCACCGCTTAACAATGTTCCGAGCTTGAGGGAGTAACCTGCTCTCTTGATGCAACTATTACGTCGCCCTCTACTTGTTAATGCTCATTATTTGCAAGTGCCAACATTCGTTTGGCTGTTTCACACTTCAAATGACCGACTATCTCAGCCCGCGATGAGGAAGATTTAGACTGTAGCTCATATAGTGATTGGTACTGGGACTGTCATGATTGGTAATTAGAGGCCTCTCTGGTCTCATTGCCTACTACCGCCAAGTAGTCAAGTCACCACCCCTTGCCGCCTCCGAGTACACAAAGGGAAGCAGGGAGGCAGCTTCACTCACCTTGCCATAGACAACTTACTGGGGGTTTGTAAGAAATACGGGAATATCCTACCATATAGGGAATATATAGGGATTATATTCCCTTATTCCCTACTAACCCCCGGGTAAGACAAGTATGTCTTCAGCCAACTCTTCCTCCAGCTCCCCTTTATGGAAAGCCTGGATCTGATATTGCCTGGATACAACTTGGGCGTGTCCCAACTGCTTTTCTCATAGTAAACGCTTCCACTATTTGGGTGGTCTACTTAGGGACCCCACAATATGGGTTTAAGGTTTAGAGGGCAGTCATGATGATTTCCCTAGGAGGATGATGATGATTAGCTCAATGGGACCTATGTTTCCACAATAGCCCGGCCGGGATCACACAAAATGGCACCGTTTGAGTCCTGGGTAATTCTAAGAAGTTCGCTCTTTCGAAAGGTATGGAATACAGTGAATATACCCTGTAATTACTTCCCCTTACGATGAAACAGTCCACCCACCCCGTGGCAAGTATGAGGACAAGCGATGACTTCTTCCTCTACCAGGGCCCACTGGAGCACCCCCAAACCTTGAACCCAAATACTCAAGGAGCCTAAAACTAATACTCCTTGATTGAGGAACCTGGTATGCTACAGTTGGGATTATACTAGCATATTTAAGGCAGATGCCTGAATCAAGGGCTCCAACATTGGGATTTCTGGGTTCTCCTTCCTTCAAACTAGGTAATCAATTTTCCTTTGTAGCCTTAGGTTTGCATCCCTAAGCCACGGAGGAGGGCCCTGAATTTGGGTAGATGGGGCCTAAAGCCCAAAGTTACAATTCTTAGAGGCACAAGATAGTTGAGTATGTGGAGCCCCAAACCCAAGATTAACAAATCTTAGAGTTAGAGGTACAAAATATTTGGGTATATGGGGTCCAAAGCCCAAGGTTACAAACCTTAGAGGTACCAACTTTACAGGCTTTCCCCTAAACCCTAAACCCCAAACTCTAAACCCTAAACTGTACACTCTAAACCCTAAACCCTTAACCCTAAATCAGCCTTTGATTCTGAGGGCCCCTGCGTTCCCGTCGGCCAGGTGCCGGAGGACTGCAGTAGCGTTTCGAAGCCTCGGTCGGTAAAGGGTGAGATGCATCAGGGGTTCCCGGGTTCCCGCCCTACTCGGTTAAGGCTCAGGGTTCAGGGTTTAGGATTTAAAGTTCAGGGCTTAAGGATCAGGGTTTAGGATTTAAGGTTCAGGGTTTAGGACTTAAGGTTCAGGGTTTAAGATTTAAGAGGGCTCACGGTTCAGGGTTCAGGAATTAAGATTCAGGGTTTAGGGCTTACGGTTCAGGGTTGGGTTTAGGTGGGCTCCCCCTTCGTTAGGCCCCTTTCAGGATGATCCGGGCTAGTCAACCCATAATTGTAAGTCATCAGGAACTCTCCGAAGCTCTGAAGGTCCGGTATCAGGATTAATGTTGCAGAGCATGCTGAGGTCTACTTGTGGTATCCTATATTGCATACAAGAGCTAGGACCACATAAATTGGTTTTTAAAAAAAAAATGTGCTTCTACAATACTGTTCTTGAATGCTCTTCGGGAGCCTGAGGTTAGGGTTGTAGAGTGTAGGGTTTAGGGTTTTAGGCTTTAGGGTTTAGGGCTGCGACATCAGCCTCAGGTTCCAGGCATCTGCTTCAGCGGGAGGCTCTCATCCAGGCCTTCAGAGATATAGTCCCCCTTAAGTTGATGGAATATGGCTTTGGGTGTATTGTAATAAGATCCCCATATACCCCATATTCTATCTACTGAAGGGGGACGATAATGCTGAATCCCTTCAAGTAGGATAGGGCCGGGTTTTGGGTTAATATTCAACCCTGAAACTCTAAACCCTGAAGCTCTAAACCCTGAAGCCCTAATCCCTGAGATAGGGTTATGGGCGGATCTTACTACAAATTGTCAGGGATCCGCAGCAAGGTCGACAGCAAGCCCCAATCCTGACCTGTAAAGAATCCTGTTCCGGATTTACCTTCCTACTATATTATTGGGGTTCCCTGTTTGGGGTTCCCAGAAAAGTCACTTTAGATACTACTGTATTGACAAACGCCCACACCATGGGGAGAGGGGCCCTACAAAAAGTCTTGGCAGCTTTAGAAACTCAACATGATAGTTGGGGGAACCCAATATCGACCCGAAAATATCATAATCCATGATACTGGTACCCCCAATAATAGGGACCCTGATTCTGGGAAACCCCAATGCGCGCTGTCCTTGGCCAATCCTCAAATCTCTGAACCTCCACGAGCCCTAAACCCGAAGCCCGAAACCTCAACCCTTTAGCCTCATAAACCCCTAGCCCGGCACCCAAACCCTAAACCCTAAATCCTATCCTAAATACCCTAAACCCGAAATCCCAAACCCTAAACTCCAAACCCTAAACCCAGATGGTCGCAGGAAAGGGCCTGGTCCGCAGCTTGCCCCCACCGCGATGGCATCTTCACAGGTCTGGTCACACGGTTTAGGGTTTACGGATAGGGATTTAGATTTTGGGCTTAGGGTTTGAATTAATGATCCCAGGGTCCTTGAAAGCACCGTAAACCCTAAACCCTGTACCCTCACCACCCCTGCCTGCCTTCTGCATGTCCAGAGAAGCGCTCTCTGCACGTCCATCCAGCGGGTCCTCGCTGTCACTCCAAGCATCATAGAGAACCTCGAGCCGAGGGTTTCGGGTTTAGGGTGGGATTCCTCTGTTCAAAGTTAAGGGAGCCGCCTACATAGCAACATGAGACCCCAAGCCAAAAAACTTGTTGAGCCCGAACCCCACAGCACTCCCTACACAGAGCATGATCACTATGCAGGGCGCAATAAGCCTACCACGCTGCGTCCGTCTAGGAAATCTGGACTCTCTAAACTGGGGCTGAATAGGAGGTCTGCATGGGCAGTACAGTACCTAGGCACATAATACACACAGGACGTTACCTCACCCAAAACTCAGCCCCTAAACCGTGAACCCTAGTAACCCAGACCCTAAGCTCAAGGAGTTGTCCTTTGTACCCTTAGCGTTTGTACCCTTGGGTTTGGGTCCCTAAGCCATGGAATATGAGCAAGCAGAGGCTAACCCCACA